ACACACACACACACACACACACACACACAATGGAGTATTACTCAGCAAGCAAAAAGAATGAGATCTTGCCATTTGCAACTACATGGATGGAACTAAAGGGTATTATGCTAAGTGAAATTAGTCAGTTGGAGAAAGACAAATATCATATGACTTCATTCATATGAGGACTTTAAGATACAGAACAGATGAACATAAGGGAAGGGAAGTAAAAATAATATAAAAACAGTGAGGGAGACAAAATGTAAGAGACTCTTAAATATAGAGAACAAACAGGTTTGCTGGAGGGTTTGTGAGAGGGGGGATGGGCTAAATGGGTAAGGGGCATTAAGGAATCTACTCCTGAAATCATTGTTGTGCCGTATGCTAACTAACTTGGCTGTAAATTTAAAAAAATAATAAATTATTAATAAAAAAACCCAATACTCAAGATCCTAAAAGAAATGTTTAATTCATAAAAAACAATCCTTTTTTTTTTAATATAAATGTCATTTTAGGATCTTGGAGTGAAAATATACTAGAATATTTTCTGAGAAATAACCACATCACAACAGAAGATGGCGCTGAGATCATCTGGTATCATGCTGCTAACCACAAGGCACAGGTGAATGAGGCACTGAAAAGTAAGTCAATACAGTTTCTTGTATTCACATTGCATAATAGATTAATTCCACTCTTTTTTTGGTATCTGGGCATATTTTCAGGTTTCAAAGACTTAGAAGATCAAAGTGTAAATTCTAGGCCGACATAAACATTTTTATAAAATATCTCATTTTGTTTACAAAATGAACAAATTTCCATAATGGAAGGATTTTCTTATTTTCCAGAAGTGGACTTGCCTTTTCTGTGTCTGTTTGAAACTTTCAATGTTACATTTCCCTATATACTGTAGTGATTGGAGTAAAATTTTTGAGGTCACTGTTGTATGTCTTACATATTTTTGTGTCTTTCATAGTGTATTAAGGAAAGGGTCGATAAATATTTGTTGAATGGATGGATGAAGCCTTTGTATACTAATTTATAATTAATTTCCTTGGTCAGTATTTATGCTTAGGCTAGAAACTAAGACTTTGGTTTATTAACTCAATCTATAATCATCTGTATCTATATATCTATATCTATAACTATAGATATCTGTATGTATCACTAGTCTATATCTATATATTGTCTATCTAGTCTGTATCTAATACCTAGACCTAGACCTACACCTACATCTTCATATCCATCTATATCTATATCTTCCTTCTTTATAGATGAACATGATAGCAGTTTTTTCAGCCTTTTCCTAAGAAGTACTCCTCTTGGCTGCAGCAGCACAGGAGACTGAAAGCATATAACCAGAGAGGTCTGGGGCATAACTCGGAGTGACCCAGTACAACAAGGAAAATTCCTCAGTCCCAAGTTTTGCTATAAAAATCTATGCATCTTTTGCATCCTACTCAATTGTGTATCTGGATAATGTGTCTGAATATATATTTATTTTATTGTAAAGATACTGTTTTAAATTGTTATTCTTTGCTCCTCAAAGGGAGGAGCTTTGGTTTAATATTGAATCCTTGATACCTAAAACAATACCTAATACATAATAACCACACAGTGATTCTTTAATAAGTGAATTTTAGCAAAAGCAATGCTTCAGGAAAAAAGCTGATTAGTGGTTTCCAGGAACTGGCCAGAGCAGAAAATAGGGAGTGAATGCTAATGGATACAGGGTTTCTTTATGGGATAATGAAATTTTTCTGGAATTAGATAGTGGTAGTGGTTGTACAGCATTCTGAATATTCTAAAAATCACTGAATGATATGCTTTAAAGGGTGAATTTTATGGTATGTGAATTATATATCAATTTTTTTAAATGGAAAAAAGCGAAACTTCTATTTACAGACAATTGGTTGTATATGTAGAAAATCAAAGTTTCTTCAGATAAATGATTGTAAGTCATGAGTAAATTTAGAAAGTCTCAGGATACAAAGTCAAAACAAAATAAATTTTAGTTCTATGTAATAACTAAAAATTTAGAAAAATCTTTAAAATTTTCAATTTGTAACAGTGTATGTGGAAATCTTTTACTAGAAATAATCTAATTAAATATGGATACTTTACTTTTAAATGTGTTTTAAAAATGCTGATGGAAAGTCATTTCCAATTGCTGGCAGTCTGATGTTGACCTGGGAAGTTTTCATAGGCTACTTAGTGTTCAGATAATGTCCTTTTTACATTCGGTTTGGTAAAACCAGAGAGCTAAGTTTTATAGTTTGGGAATGCTCTTCACAAATACCTTTTTTAAGCCATGGCTAGTTTCGTAAATTCTTGTTAGTCCAAAGGAGAGGAGACAGACAGCCTCCTGCAGACATGCATGCTGTATTTAACTGGTTTTCTCATTTCTTCCAGAATATTTAAATGTAGTATAACTATTATTAATAGAGCTGTTTAAGTTTGATTAACCTGTAAAACTGGGTTTTTAACAATATCTATGACTTAAAAAAAACAAAGTACAGGAGGAGAAATGTAAAAGTACCACCTGGTATTACACTGTCAAAACATCCAGATCACAGACTAATGATCACAGACTAATGTTGTAACATTTCAGCATGTAGATTTTAAACACATTCATTTTAAAAGATATGTTGGAAAAAAATGGAAAACATTTAAGTCTTTTTGAGAAAAAAAAAATGTGTTTTTTTTAAGCCTTGAAAAAAGCCTTTGTAACACCTTTAGGAATAGTTTGACTATAATAAATATCTGTAGTTTCTAATTTGAGGAATGAGAAGATAAAAATATTGTTTTTATTCTCAGAAACGTCAACAAACACTTATTAATCCTTGTTTTGTATGCTCATTTTGCTATGTCCTGGGAAGAAATTAAATACTGTAACAACAGTGTAAGAGCTCTATGACATAGGGAAAGGCATTTAATTCTTCACCACCTGTTTGCTCATCTGTGAAATAAACATGTAAAGGCCTAGCACTTAGTACCTGGCACTTAGTAGTTACCCAGTAAACGTTAGTTTTTATTCTCCTCAACAGGCTCCTGAACATGACATCTTCTGCAGTCCTTATTTTATCAGCATTAACTTAAGTTCTTTTATTTGGACAGGTCCTGCTCACATGATAGAGGCTGATGTCCTTCTTCCAAGTGATGGATCAGAATATAGCCAACCAATCATGGCCCATCCTCCTGAAACAAATAGTGATAATACTTTACAGGAATGGCTGACTGAAGTTATAAAAAGCAATAAAGGCATCAAACTGGATTTTAAGAGGTATTTGTATAAACATTTTCAGTTTTTTAGTTGTTATAAAATAACAATGGAAAAAAAGGATTAATAGCATCACATATCTGTGCTTGACTAACTTTAAATTGAAAATAGAATTGTAAACTAATATGTTTCAAGAATGGACCTAAGACCCATTGAGTTGTTTGCTAAGATTGTTTCTTGGGAACTCTTTGAAGATAAAATTAATTTTTACAAAGGAATTTATCATAAATTACCATTGTGATAATAGAATGGTAAATTTAAAATGCTACTTTCATTAAAAAGTGGTCTGAGACAGAGTTGGCAGTAGTTTGAGTAGTTAGTGCATATCCTACTTGATTTATATTTGTATATGGGGAATTATCTAGAAGTCTTCAATAACCCAAGAGTTCTTTAAAAATAACATTTGGAAGTATTGATAATGAAGGGCAAGATTAAGTGTCATTTCCTTTCCTGTGGCTATCATGGGAAATTTTACTTTTGTGCCATTTTTGCTATATAAAAATTATAAGTAAAGCCAGGAATATATTGTGATACCACAAAAGCTCACCATAAGCCCCATGAAGGTGACTGCTAATGAAAATCTAGGGTTTGTGGTAAATATACCTTATCTCTGAACAATATTTTTAAATGGAATTTTCTTAGGAAATTAATGATTTGGAAATCTTACTAATAGAATTATCAATATGACTCTAATCATTTGTTGTAGGGCTAAATGTACTAGTAAACTTCATTATACTGTTGGCGAATGAAAGAGCTATGTTAAGATCTTAAAGTTTTTAGAGTGGTGAATGGCCCAAACTCTATTTTATTGACAAAGAAACTTAGTCCCAGAGAAGTTAAATGATTGACCCAGGGACAATAGCTAAACTTGACAGCTGAGCTAGGATGAGATCCAAGGTATAGTGTTCTCTGTACCATGAAATAAAGCATTTGATCTTTAATGTTTGGTGATTCAGAGTTTTAGCACTCTTTGCCATTTCATGTGTATGTTTACTATTGCCCACTGAATTGTTCTCTCTAATATATTCCTTGGTTCTTCACCAGTCAGATCAACCGATTGATTCATTCCTAGCAGCTATCCAAAAGGGCTGAGGCACTAAAAAAAAGATTTTTCAAATTTTTGGTCATAACATATTTGAAGGGGAATGAATTTATGGACATTTATAGTGTGTCAGACGTTGTTCTAAGAGCATTAAATGTGTTCATTTATTTAGTCCTTATAACAATCCTAGGAGGTAGCTTATTGCTATCACCCTCATTTTCTTGATGAGGGAACAAAGGCAGAGAAGAGTAAGTAGCCTGCTTGTTGTCACATAGTAGGAAAGCTACCAGCCTGGCTGAAGAGTTCACACTGTGAACCGAAACTCTGTACTACCTCTGTAAAAGTAGCTGAATAACCTATTAGTTAAATTTTACTAGTTCTTATTATATGCTTTTAAGTTATTCTGTTTGGTATACAAATAATAATTAAATATTAAAATTTCATGTGTAAGTTTCCTATAGGATGTAATTTTAAATGGTTTATTGTGATTTTTGTGATTATTTTTATTTTCTCATCCCCAATTTCTAAACAAAGTTAATAGGTAAATAGGTATGATACTCAGAAGTTTGACTTACAAATAACTTTTTAGGAAAAAAACCTATCCTGTAAAAACAAAGTTCATATTCTTCCCAAGAATTTAAATAAGTACCACCAAAGGGAAATTTTAGGTGGTATACTGATCAGAACTTCCCTCTTCAAGTGATCATCTTGGCCAGCCTTTGTCAGGTTTTGTTTTTTAAATATATGAAATTTATTGTCAAATTGGTTTCCATACAACACCCAGTGCTCATCCCAAAAGATGCCCTCTTCAATACCCATCACCCACCCTCCCCTCCCTCCCACCCCCCATCAGCCCTCATTTTGTTCTCAAGTAGCCTTTGTCAGTTTTTTATGAGACACTTAATACATGTTAGAATTGAGAATGTTAGCCACTGTTATTTCTAATTAGAATTACATGGTATTGCCAGCGTTACCTTGATTTCAAAAGCAAAGACCCCACTAAAAAGGAGAACTAAAGACCAATTTCCCTGATGAACATGGATGCAAAAATTCTCAACAGGATACTAGAAAACAGAATCCAACAATACATTGAAAGAATTATTCACCATGATCAAGTGGGATTTATTCCTGGGCTGCAGGGCTGGTTCAATATCTGCAAATCTATCAATGTGATACATCAAATTAATAAAAGAAAAGATAAGAACCAGATGATCCTCTTAATAGATGCAGCAAAAGCATTTGACAAAATACAGCATTTCTTGATAACCCTCAAAAAAGTAGGGATGAAGGAGCATACCTCAAGATCATAAAGTCTCTATATGAAAGACCCATAGCTAATATCATCTTCAATGGGGAAAAACTGAGAACTTTTCCCCTAACAGGAACACGACACTACTGTTATTCAACATAGTGTTGGAAGTCCTAGCCTCAGCCATCAGACAACAAAAAGAAATAAAAGGCATCTAAATTGGCAAGGAAGAAGTCAAACTCCCACTCTTTGCAGATGACAGGATACTCTTACATGATACTCTACTCTACTTTTGGGAAAACCCAAAAGACTCTACCAAAAAAACTTCTGGAACTGATACATGAATTCAGAAAAGTCACAGTATATAAAATCAGCATTCAGAAATCAGATGCATTTCTATACACCAATAATAAAGCAGCAGAAAGAGAAATCAAGGAATCTATCTTATTTACAATTGCATTGAAAACCATAAAATACCTAGGAATAAACTTAAACAAAGAGGTAAAAGATCTGTATGTTGAAAACTATAGGCAGCTTATGAAAGAAATTGAAGAAGACACACAAAAAATGGAAAAATATTCCATGCTCATGGATTGGAAGAACAAATACTGTTAAAATGTCGATATTACCCAAAGCAATCTACGTATTTAATGCAATCCCTATCAAAATAACACCAGCATTCTTCACAGAGCTAGAACAAACAATTTTAAAATTTGTATGGAACCATAAAAGACCCCAAATAGGCAAAGTAATGTTGAAATAAAAAACCAGGGGCTCCTGGGTGGCTCGGTTCATTACTCGTCCCAACTTCAGCTCAGGTCATGATCTTGTGGTTCATGGGTTCAAGCCCCGCATCGGGCTCTGTGCTGACAGCTCAGAACCTGGAACCTGCTTCAGATTCTGTGTCTCCCTCTTTTTTTGCCCCTCCCCTGCTTGTACTCTGTCTCTGTCTCTCAAAAATAAATAAATGTTTAAAAAAAAGAAAAAAAGAAAACCAACCTAGAGGCATCACAATTTCAGACTTCAAGCCATATTACAAAGCTGTAATTATAAAGACAGTATGGTACTGGCACAAAAACAGACACATAGATCAATGGAACAGAATAGAGAACCCAGGAATGGACCCACAAATGTATGGCCAGCTCATCTTTGACAAAGCAGGAAAGAATATCCAATGGAAAAAAGAGAGTCTTTTCAGCAAATGGTGTTGGGAAAACTGGACAGTGACATGCAGAAGAATGAACCTGGGCCACTTTCTTACACCATACACAAAAATAAACTCAAAATGGATGAAAGACTTAAATGTAAAGACAGTAAACTATCAAAATCTTAGAGGAGAAAACAGTCAACACCTCTTTGACCTCAGCCACGGCAATTTCTTACTACACACGTCCCCTGAGGCAAAGGAAACAAAAGCAAAAATGAAGTATTGAGACCTCATCAAGATGAAAAGCTTCTGCACAGTGAAGCAAACAATCAAGAAAACAGTTATTGCAAATGACATACCAGATAAAGGGTTAGTATCTAAAACCTATAAAGAACTTACCAAATTCAACATCCAAAAAACAAAGAATTTGGTGAAGAAATAGGCAAAAGACATAAATAGACTATTTTCCAAAGAAGACATCCAGATGGCTAACAGACACATGAAAAGATGATCAACATCATTCATCATCAGGGAAATACAAATCAAAACTACAATGAGATACCACCTCATACCTGTTAGAATGGCTAAAATTAACAACTCAGGAAGCAACAGATATTGCAAGAATGCAGAGAAAGGGGAACACTTTTGCACTGCTGGTGCAAATGCAAACTAGTGCAGCCATTCTGGAAAACAGTATGGAGTTTCCTCAAAAAATTGAAAACAGAGCTACCCTATCACCCAGCTATTGCACTAGTAGGTATTCATCCAAAGGATACAAAACTGCTCATTCAAAGGGGCACATGCATCCCAATGTTTATAGCAGCACTATCAACAATAGCCAAAGTATGGAAAGAGCCCAAATGTGCATCAACTGATGAATGGATAAAGAAGATGTGGTACATATATACAATGGAATACTACTCGGCAGTGAAAAAGAATGAAATCTTGCCATGTGCAATAACATGGATGGAGCTGGAGTGTTTTATGCTAAATTAAGTCAGTAGTAAGTCTGTCAGAGAAAGGCAAATATCATATGATTTCACTCATCTGTGGAATTTAAGAAACAAAACAGAGGAACATAGAGGAAGGGAAGGAAAAATAAGATAAAAACAGAGAAGGAGGCAAATCATAAGAGATTCTTAAATACAGAGAACAAACTGAGGGTTGCTGGAGGGGTATTGGGTGGGGGTGGGCTAAGTGGGTGACGGGCATTAAGGAGGGCACTTGTTGGAATGAGCACTGGATATTATATGTAAGTGATGAATCACTAAATTCTAGTCCTAAAACCCTTATTACACTGTATGTTAACTAACTTTAAAAACATACAAAAAACAAATTTACTATATGGATGTACTTTAGAGATACCACCTAGAATTAGAATCATTAAAGACTGAATTTGAATATACTAAAATAAATTATTACATGGTATTAGTAGATTAATTGGGAGAGATGTATCATTTTGTAATATTTACAAATTTGTTACATGTTCCAGGCTAGGAACATGGTATGTTATTCTTTCAGGTATACATTATATATTGCTGTTGGGCCAAGTTCATCCTCAGTCTTTTTTTTCTTTTTTTTTCCAAAAATGTTATGACTTTTCCTTGATATTTACTCTTCCAGAAGAATCTTATATTTATTCTATTTTAGAGAGAGAGAGAGATTGTGGGTGGGGGAGAGGGGCAGAGGGAGAGAGAGAGAATCTCAAGCAGGCTCCGTGTGGTGCTTGCTACGGGGTTCTATCCCACAACCCTGGCATAGCTACTGGAGCTGAAACAAAGAGTTAGATGCTCTACTGACTGAGCCACCCAGGCGACCCCACAAGAATTTGATAATTGTTTCGTCAAATTCCAGAAAATAAAAAACTACAACAGCAAAAACTTTTATTTTCCTTAGTAAGATTTTATGTTTTTTTAATATAGGTTTTGTTTTTCTTATTTAAATTTCTGATAAGGGAAAGTGGCATTACAATAATCTATATTAGCAATAATTAAAATATTTACATATAAAAAAACAATACATGTATTAAATTCTTGTTTCATTATGTTCTGTGTCATAGCTCCTTATGGTTAACTGCACAGTGCTTTTGCACATAGTAGACACTTAATATATGTTGGTGGATTCAATCTTGGGGAGAATATGCTGAGATTGGATATTATCTGATGGGAAACCATTATTCAACAGCCCTATATTATTTTAATAAATTGAGAAAGCCTAAGACTCTCCCTCCTAAATATAAACTAGAAATCAGTGTTTAACCCAACCTCCACAGACACCAGATTTCTTAAGAAACCAGAATTCTTTCTGGAAAAAGAGATGTTGCCAGAGGTACGTAGATTAGTTTAGGTTTTCCTCCAGATCCACCCATGAAGAGTAGAACCCCACAGTAACTTGGCTTCTCCTGTAGGTCTTGAAAAACAAGCTTTGGAGGCGCAGCTTCAAGTTGCTTGCTACCAAAAATAGGGGTGCCAGATCTCAGAATTGTGGTTTTAACATGGCCCTGATACTGTTTAAGGCAGAAAGCATTTAGGACAGAGAAATGACAGTCTCTAAACTAAAGTCTGCTAGGTCCAGCATTAGAGTTTATTAATCCACTAAAATCTAGGGCCTCCATTTCAGGGCAAGAAGAATAAGCAAAAAGAAGCTCACAACATGGGGGCAGAGTAAAGAGAGACTGGGGGCTGGTTTTCTCTGGTTAATGAACAGTATCCTTGCTCACTAATTAATTGGACCTAATAAATAATGAGGTTATCAGTTTCTCCCGTTACAGTAAGAGGCCTGAAAGGAGTGAGGTGAAGAATGGTAGAAGTATGGGCAGGAGGAGTCCAGTCCATTAAGAAAGTTGTAATGTGAGGAGAGGGTACTGAATGTTCTTCCCTCCAACAGGCATTTCCCAGAATCTTAGCCTCCCATTGTAGTATTCGCTAAAAGCTAATTTTCTTTTTAAATTTTTATTTAAATTCTAGTTAGTTAACATACCTTGCAAAAATGGTTTCAGGAGTAGAATTCAGTGATTCATCAGTTACATGCAACACTCAGTGCTCATCATAACAAGTGCCTTCCTTAATGCGCATCACCCATCTATCCCATCCTTCACTCACCTCCTTCCATCAACCCTCAATTTGTTCCGTCATTAAGAGTCTCTTGTGGTTTGTTTTCCTCTCTTCTCTTTTTCCCCCCTCCCCTATGTTCATTGCACAGGTGAACGAAATCATATGGTATTTGTCTTTCTCTGTTTGACTCTTTCATTTAGCATAATATACTCTAGCTCCATCCACGTTGCTGCAAATGAGAAGTTTTCATTCTTTTGGATAGCTGAGTAATATTCCATGGTATGTATACCACATCTTGCTTATCTATTTATCTGTCAATGGACTTTTGGGGTCTCTCCATAGTTTGACTATTGTTGATAATGCTGCTGTAAACATTGGGGTGCATGTACGTCTTCGAACCTGTATTTTTGTATCCTTTGGTAAATACCGAGTAGTGCAATTGCTGGATCATAGGGTAGTTCTATTTTTAACGTTTTGAGGAACCTCCATACTGTTCTCCAGAGTGGCTGCACCAGTTTGCATTCCCCCAAACAGTGCATAAGGGTAAAACTAATTTTCTTCGAAGCAAACTTAAAGGTTCAGAAGAGATTCAGAAGTATAAGTAGTGTTGTAGTTCA